TACCTACTGTATAGCAAGTGTATTGCAATAAAAAATAAATTTCCAACTAGGACACCAAGAAACTGCTGTAATTTACAAGAAGTATTAAATAAAAAACATATATGTAGACATGGACAGTAGAATGAGAACAATCTACCCTAGTAGACTTAAGTGTTTAGTTTTAAATTCCTTGAAGGTTACCTCAATCAATAAACCTCTGAAGAAGGCTGGAGGTTACAAATAATGATAACTCCTCATCCCAGAAATTTAGACAGAATTTGACGTTATTGATCTTTCAATAAATTTTATAAAGTTTTGATTTGTATGCTGTTTAACAAGCTAAGATAAAATAGTTGCTATTATTAAAACTCAAGTATTTCTCAGTTTTGCTCTGTATTTTCAATCATGGTGAATTTTGATTAGACATAAATCTATCTATATTGCAATCTTACTTTGCCTTTGTCAAGCCAATTTCACAGAGTTTTATTACAAACTTATTTCATTATAAATGCAAATTGATATGGTTAATTTTGATTGCACATAAATTTATCTATATTTCTATATAACTTTGGCTATGTTAAACTAAATATGAATTGATATGGTTAATTTTGATTGCACATACATTTATCTATATTTCTATATAACTTTGGCTATGTTAAACTAAATATGAATTGATATGGTTAATTTTGATTGCACATACATTTATCTATATTTCTATATAACTTTGGCTATGTTAAACTAAATATGAATTTTGATATACATTAATTTTGATTGCACATACATTTATTGCTATATTTCTATATAACTTTGGCTATGTTAAACTAAATATGAATTGATATGGTTAATTTTGATTGCACATACATTTATCTATATTTCTATATAACTTTGGCTATAAAATATGAATTGATATGGTTAATTTTGATTGCACATAATTTATCTATATTTCTATATAACTTTGGCTATGTTAAACTAAATATGAATTGATATGGTTAATTTTGATTGCACATAAATTTATCTATATTTCTATATAACTTTGGCTATGTTAAACTAAATATGAATTGATATGGTTAATTCTGATTAGGCATAAATTTATTTGTCTTGTCATCTAACTTTGGCTATGTTAAACTAATATGTCTGGAAGTTTTATTTGAAAATTATTTCATTATAAATGTGAATTGATATATTTGTTAAATCTGTTTTATTTGGAATTCTTTAAATCAAAACAACCATATTTAATGGCAAAGGAACATACAGAGATAGAAGATACTCCTTTCTTGATTTCAACAGGGAATATTAAGAAAAATAAAGTTATTTTTATTTACAGGTAAACATTTAGTGTTATTCAAATATACATTGAGAGTAGAGCAGAAAAAAAAATGGTCAAAATGTGCAACAAGGAAAGCAGGGAAAATGTTTTTAATAATAACTTTACTGTAATTTCACCAAGGAAAATACAAAATAAGTTTTGCTATAGCAGGAAAATTTTTATAAAAACAAGCTGCCACGAAAGATGATCATCATGTGCTGTTTCTACCTGCGGCATATTGAAAACTCACATGACATTTTTTTTTTTTGAAGAGTTTCAGCCACTGTTGGTTTATTTTGTTTAAACTGATACAGCACCCCTCCTCCTCTGTGGGTTGCCGAGTTGTTGGGAGATGGATGATTTTAACGAAATACCATCTTTAATTAATCATACTTTTAGATAATCATGCTGTGCTTTTTCTGCCTGCAGCAAACTTCATTCACTTATGTGAAAATACCAATGCAAAAAGTATGAAACCATCTCCTCCCCTCCAGTTATGGGTTAAATAGGACTTTTTGTCTTAAAAAAAAAAAAAAAAAATTCATTGTTATTCTAAGTTATTGTTCATGCAATATTCATTGAAAGCATGCATGACATTTTTTTTTAAGAGTTTCAGCCACTGCAGGTTTTTTTTCTAAGCCACTACAGCCGAGATTTTAACAAAATATTATCTTTAATTATATTTTTAGATTATCATGCAGTGCTATTCCCACCTGCAGCAAGTTGCATTCACTTACATGAAAATACCATTGGGGAAAAAATATGAATCCATCTCTTCCCCCCAGCTATGGGTTAAATAGAACTGTTCATCATATTCTCAAAATATTGTTAATGCAATATTCACTCACACAAGAAATTATTTTTTTGATTGAAAAATGTTTTGCTTTCAAATAACACACAAAGGGTTGATAAACCATAAAAATCAAATCAATCAATGAAGCAAATTGCAAACTCATAAAATCAAAGAATTTTCAGTCATTGTGAGTTTTATTTTTAATATCTCTTCAAATCGTTATCTTTCCTCACTTCCTCCTCTTACATTCATATTACACACCTTGTTCAGTAACCCACTAACTTGAATGGCTCTTGTGCCTCGTGCTGGGTGATTTTATCAAAATCCTGTCTCTAGACAGGCTACCAACCAAGGCTAAAGCTAAAGAGATCTCTCTCCATTAGGTGTAGACTTGTGGCTTCATGCCCGCACATCCCTTAAGGACTTTGAAATAGTTGTGTCTATCCAATTTCACCAACAAAGTTTGGGTCAACTTGTGATATGGTTTTTCTGGCACTTCTCGATTGTGCTGCATGCAAGGATCATTTCCCCAGACTGATATTAGCAAAATGTCAGCTCCTTGATTAATCAACCAAAATGAGATTTGAACCTGGGTCTAATGGTTGGAATGTTTGGCGAACTTGAACCACTTGGCTACCAGTAAATCATATTTTGTGAAGGAATTTTCTAGATCCTGACCTCTGTTGAAAACCATAGATAAAAAAAAAACCCTCAACAGTTTCATTCTAATAAGGTTATATAAGAAATTGTCAACAAGAATTAAAAAGAAAACACAGCAATTACAAGAATTTGCTGTATAGATTTTAAAATCGTGGTATTGAATTAGAAAAATAGGGGTTTGACATGATAAATAATGACATAAAATAATATTCTCTAATCATTACCAGTTTGAAGGTTAAGTTTAATTTTAAAAACATATCATTGCAATTTAACTCCAACGATCAGTGAAAGCCTTATAGCCCAACCTTATAAAATTTATAATTTTCTGAAGCTTTGCAAATTTTATATGGACAAAATGCATGGCACAAGCACATTTTGAAATCATTCTGCCATCAAATAGGACCTATATTTGCTTCAAATTGAAATTATACAAAACAATTTAGCTACGTTATGATGTTATATAATACACAGTGCAGTAGTTTTAGTGATTTTCAATAAACAATGAAAAGTTAAAACATTTTTTTCTTATAATTTGTTCCCAGCAGTATTATGGTGTTATATACACTTATCTATTTTTTGTTTTTATTATGATTTTAAAAAAATCTTATTCACCAAGCAGCCATTTTTTGTTATCTTTTACATTTTTTTTTCTCTACACAATTAAGAAAAAAGTTATTTTTATTTACAGGTAAATATTTAGTGTTATTCAAATATACAGTGAGAGTAGAGCATAAAAAAAAAAAAATTCATCAAATTATACAGAACAATTTAGCTTAAGGGATGTCATGATCTAGAAAATTCCTTCACAAAATATTCTCTACAATAATAATAATAAAATAGAAAAATTATGACAATATACTTGAACAAAAGTTCTATAATTGATAGAAGATTCCATAGATCTTATTAGGAACAATAAATGATTAACATTTTACACTGACATGAATACAGTAAAAAAAAAAAAAAAATGCATATTTTGCTTGTGGTGATTAATAATTTGAATTCTGGTTTGAATATATTTTCCTTTCAATATAAAAAGATATCAACTTTATTTGGATATATTCTTGAAATAGCAACATTTTGAAGTCAGTTTGCAAGCAAAAATATACAGAAATTAGGTACTTTTTCATATGATCTTTAAAACTAAATGATTAAAAAATGATAAAAGCTAATCTAATTTTTGGTGGTGGTACTTATCAAACCCCAGCTTTTGTATAGAGTTCAACGTTGATTTTCTGTACGAAAAGTGAAAAATCAACCTACCCTATTGCTGTAATAAAAGTCATGAGAGAGATCAATCTGTTCTTAAAGGAGATCTTGTTAGGCACAATAAAAAAAAAAATTAAAAAATTGGCAATAATAGTTAAAAAGAAAACAGAACAATTATAAGGATAGACTGAAATAAAAGTTCAGTAGCAGAAAATTCATTCTTACTGTAGATCTTATGAGGCTCAATCAAAGATTAGCAATAATAAATAATGTTGAGAAAATCTCTACCCAAAATAAGTCCAAAGACGGTTCAGGCTGAGGAAAAACACACCTTAAGTTGTGAAAAAATATTCCCTTCCGCAATGTAGCTTGATCATCTGATAACTTGCATTAAGTTACAAGGAAAAAAAGAGACAAGAGGAAATACACTTTCCTTATAACTATTCAGGAATCATGTTGTAACAAAGTCATGAGACCCTGTAACTATAAAATTAGTAAACAGGTAACAGCTTTTAGTTAACAAGAACCAACAACCCAGGTAAGTACATTACTCTTTCCTTCACCTGAACAGTCAATTTCTCCACAATAATAAAATAGAACAATTATAATATACTTGAGCAAAAGTTAGATAATTGATAGAAGATTCCATAGATCTTAGTCAGCACAATAAATGAGTAATGTTTACCACAGATATGAAGTGGAAAGAATATATTGAATCAGTTGATAGGTCTGCTGCTTGGTTTACTGTAGCGTGCAAGACAGTTTTTCACGCTAGAATCTACCTTACACATTTATAAGTCTAATTTTCTTCCCTGCTTTGAATATTGCTGCCACATCTGGTCTGGTGTTCCTGCTATATAGTTAGAGAATCCTGATAAAATCCAAATAAAAATCTGCAATATTATTGGTCCTGACCTAGCATCTTGGTTTCAGTCACTTTCTCACCACCATAATGTTGCTTTCTTGTGACTTTTTTATAATTACTTTCATCGTAATTGTTCTGATGAACTTTCCTCTATGGTACCTAGACTTTATGAATTTAAGCACACTACTAGATTATAGGAGGTACGGTGGAGTAATAGATGACGGCATGGTGGAGTAATAGATGGCGGCATGGTGGAGTAATAGATGGCGGCATGGGGGAGTAATAGATGGCGGCATGGGGGAGTAATAGATGGCGGCACGGGGGAGTAATAGATGGCGGCACGGTGGAGTAATAGATGGCAGCTCGGAGTGAGGAATCAGAGAGCCATGTTTGAATTACATTCAAATCCATTACATTTATTTACATGCTAATACTCTTGGGAAAGGTATGAATTCTCTTCTTCCCCACCAGCTATGGGTAAATAGGAGGAAAGACCGAGTTCTTGGATGGCAACTGGTTTACCACAGAAAGAAATGGCAACCTACTATGGGGTAAAAAAATCTGCCTCATCAGTCATGTATCAAAAGATACATGATCGCCTAAGCATGTATCCCGCATTGCACATAACTGACTGACTAGATTAGAAGCAAGGTTGAAATGGCTAGATGTAACTGTAAGTTCAATCATACTTCCTGCTTGGGTAACTCTCTTCCAGGTTCTTACTTCCCAGACAACTTCGATCTTCGAAAATTTAAGTGCAATGTTCTTTTAATGTTCTCTTACTGTATTTTTTTTTTACTCATACTCACTAACACCTTGCATCTTAGTGGCTTTATTGCCTTGCTTGAGGGGAAATGATAAAAAAAATACCATAAAATACAATAATAAAATTCATAGTTATTTACAAAAATACTAATACACTATGTCAGACAGTACTTAACTTTTGCATAGTACTTAGAGAGATGGTAATCAACAAGCTCTCCAGTAGAGCATGGCTACCCAATAACCTTTGGTTAATGGTTGACCTAGACAAATATTTTTATCCTTTTATACCTATTTGCTTCTGTCAGCTTTTCCTTCTTCCATGTGCCATCTCCCTTCAGGACATGGGACATCAAGTCTCACCAGATCTGCCTCTCCATAGTCATTCTTACTAAGTTTTAAGTTTTGCTATCCCTCAAAACTATAATTCGGCCACCCATTCATACATGCTGGTCATTTAGGTGGCCTGCCATCATCCCTTGTCTGTTTTACCTTTTGATATGTCCTGTAAGTGTCAAATTCTCCAAGCCCTTCTTTCTGATTGTGTGTCCAAGAAGGTTGAGATGTCTTTTTCTGAGTCACTCCTTTTGCACATCACTCTGCAGGTTAGTAAATCCTGCTTGAAGGGGGATGGATTTACCTACAGAGTTAACTAGACTATTTCTTATTTACGGTCATTCTTATCAAGAATTCATAGTGAATTAGTAATTTAAAAGAGTTTTAATTTTTCACTTGCATAGTACCCATAAAAAATGACAGGATTGTTTATATATGGATCAGCACTTATGACTAGGATCAGAGTATCTGATCCCTTAAGTGAAATTGTCATCCCTTCCTGGCACTTGAGTTGATTTAATAAATTTACACTCCAGGATAAGTGTTAAGCACATACATAATTTCTCCCCTACCATCTCTCTTTCTACAAAATATATGTGCATATATATATATATATATATATATATATATATATATATATATATATATACACAAAGCAGATTTGGCCTTCATCATAATAGATAGGGAGTAGTAGATGCGATAGGCAACAATAAACTACATAAGAAATCAGAACTGATCACTGCATTTAAGTATTGCATTAATATTAGGTTGGTGCAAAAATAATGACGTAATAATGTTGTTTTTGACGTTAAAAAATATATCAAAAAACGACATTATTACGTCATTATTTTTGCACCAACCTAATATTTAGGCTTACCTTTTAAAACTTCAACATAATTCTTTTGCCACTACTTAAAGACAATTTGATGTATGTTGGTCCTTATCTTTATTTCATGGGTTATTTTCGCTAGATTTTGCAATCAACTTCAATTTAACAATTTAAATTGGAATTTATTTTCAAGTTATAAAAATTTTTATCATGCAAAAAATTTGTCACAAAAATTCACATAAAAATATCACCGAAGACAATCACAGTAATCAAAAATTTGGGAATTCAAAATTTCAGGATCGCAAGTCTAGATCCAGCCCAGAATGTTCTTAATTTGCTCATGATTCTGCATGAGCACACACTAACTCTTACATGCATGAACGCACACCAACACATACGTACATGCATGAAAGATTACACAAAAACATGTACATACACAAACACACAGGCATGCACAGACATACATATACCCTTACATGCAACATACACATGAAAATTTATGAACGCACAAATATGTACAAACACACCGACACACACGTTTATGTATGAACATACATACACATATGCTCAAAAATATGTATATATACAGATTTTTGCATAGAGGTGAGTGGGGTCATCTGCCAATTGTGCATCTTCTGGAAGCCATATGTCGTTTCAGGGCCTTTTCCAAGATAACTTTGTTGTACAGGCAAACACAGCAGAAGAACATACAATCTTAGTAGAACCAGGTGGCTTCATATAGTATACAACTTATGTGATATAATGAAATGTAGTAAAAGACAGAAAAGTAATGTTCGGGATAAAAAGGGAATTGCCAAAATAAGTTCTGTGTCTACGTGCCAATGCAGCAAAGCCATGCAGTAAAAGACAACTAATGTTTTCTGTAATTATGATTTTCAGAAACTTCTGTAAACCGAGTCCACTCAACATGGGAGAATATACATATAGTGTTTTTGTATGGGTCTGGATGTATTTGATGGTTTCAACACTCAGTTGATATTAAGGGAGAGGGCAATTCAGTTCTTCAATTTTGGCTTTTGTCTCTTCCGTGTCTAAGTTATAGGTCGCTATTTTTCTAGCTTATTGAGATAAACTGAGCTAGGCTGAGGTTAAAAAAAATTCATGCACAAAAAAAATCAATAACAAAAACAATCAAAAGAAAGCCGTTCATACATATATGCATATTTACGTCTTTTGGGTGCGATCAAATCATTGTAATTATTCTTTAAAAGAACACACCTAAGCCATCGTTAGAAAAATGTTTTAGACAGATATTGGTATAGACTTGTTAAGAAAAGATAATACGGGGAAAATATTATGGTGGAATGGATTACCCTCAACCTTGAGTAAGGACATTGTACATCATAAAAGGGTTTAATTTTATGCCTTTTTGGCACATTTTTACCTTGGGAACTTAAAAGGTTAAAGAGCTTATGGCCATATCACATTGAAACACCAGTTCCCATATGGTCACCAATGTTAAGCTTAGACAGTACCAAGATAAGTGACTGCTTTGGAATATCAGGTGCTGTAGTCTTGGATGTATGGGAGGTGTAATGGATAACAGGTCAGAATTGTTAATTGGAGAGCTGAGTTCTAATTCCAGTTGACTACTTTATATTGACTTATGCACAAATACCCTTTGAAAAGATATGGATCCACTTTTTCTACCCCAGCTATGGGTTAATTAGTAAAATTTGTATCACTAAACCATTAATTATTTTAAAAAATTTTAACCATCTAAAAATAGGTTCTGGCTTTTAATAACATACAAAGGGTTGATAAGTCATAGAAAATGAACCAATAATTGGTTAAACACCAATAACAGTAACACACTAATAGTTGTAATTTATGTGCAGATTTGCAATCTAAAATGTAAAAAAAAGAGTAAAAGGTGAGAGTAATACATAAATATATATATATATATATATATATATATATATATATATATAAAAAATGATATGAAATTGAATAAGTCCAACAATTATTTAATATACTTTGTTTATACATTATTTTAATAGATACAATTTATTTAAGCAAATGCTCCGTTTTTTAATTAAACTTTATTAATTACATTTGCTGGCCTGAATGTTCAAGAAATTTCGAAGAAAATATGCATTCTCCAACAGGAATCGACCCTTAGAGAACTGTCATCTGATCTGACGTGCTATCATTGAAGATTTGTTTAAAATCATTAGTTAGAACTTTGCTAAGCAGATGCTTTGTTATAGCTAAGTGGTATAGCACGTCAAATCAAATGACAGTTCCATATCAAATACAGGTTCGATTCCTGTTGGAGAACGCATATTTTCTACAAAATTTCTCAAACTTTCAGGCCGGTAAGTGTAATTAATACTGTTTAATTAAAAAACAGAACTTTCTATTAAAATAACCTAGAAACAGAAAATATAATAAGTGTGTGTATGTGTGCAAAGAGTTAGTCATCATCTTTTATTCAGTCAGCGTATTTTTTTCTGCTGTGGTCATCACACCCCTCCGTTGTAATTGTGGTTCATGGGAACATTGAAGGCAAAATAGTGCAATGGCTTGCCCGTTCCTTTTCCTCTGGGGATGTCGAGGATATCCGGTCCCTCCTCTCAGAAGTTCCTCCACCCACTGATAAAGCAGCTGACCTCTGAGGTGCAGCTCCTCTGCTCAGGCTGGTGACTGCCTGAAAGCAACTTGGCACAGATAGGTTGTAGAGAGGCTTTTTCCATCATCAGTCGGGCCAGGAAACCTTTCTGACTACCTCCACACTGTTTAGCCAGCAGGTCGATGCCGTTGACTGGGGTGTAGCCAACTTGGTGCCTATGCGACTTCTTGGAACCGTGTTTAAGAGTTGGATGTATGTCGTGGGCCATTATAGCTCTGCATCACAATTCGCCTAAGTAAAGATTGGTCAACCACTTTGCTACTACTGTCAATACACTCCAAAAGTGTTATTACATAAGTATAAACAAGATTTAAAAAAAAAAAATACTTGCAACTACCATCATACATGCTATGTCAAATTGACCCACTTCTGTGAGAGTCTCACAAAGAAGTGAATCTGTGGTGTGGTGACTAAAAAAAGAACAAGGTATTGTACTCACCGAGGGTAGGGAGGGAGGGGGGAAGTATGTGCTGTGGCGGCGTCTGCGTCTAAAATAATAATTTTTCTCCCGGGCCGAACCAAGGCCAAAGGATTGACGATTTTTATAGACGCTCTGGTCTCGTTGTATGACGTTGAACGAGACCTTGAGAGTTTAAAAGGTGCTACTTTCAGTTGCAAATTCAGTTCTTTTTCTCTACAGATCCTTTGTAGAGCTCACTTATTACGCAGAGGAGAGTACCAAGTGTTACTAGTCATTTGACTTTTGTTACCGTTACAAGGAAGATTTCGCTTGTAAGCAACGTCAAACTTTTCGTTACAAGCCTTGAAACCGTCTTTCCTTTCCCTCCTCCCTTACTCGTTGGTGAGATAATCCCGACAGTGGTTATCTCCCCCTTTTTTGATATGAAACAAACCTTGAGAAATGAAAAAGTAAAATAAATGAAACGAAATATGAAAAATAAAGCGAGCATATATATTTGTCGATATTTGATTGTGTCTCATAACCATATTTTCTTTTTCATTCTTGCTTCTTTTTTTTTCTTTCAGTGTTTTCTGTCTTTGACATTTTTTTCACTTGTTCCTTCCCTTTTCTTTGCTGCTTTTCTTTTGCGTTTCTTCCCACCCCTTCCCTAGCATTACCTTCCTTATCCATTTCCCATTCAAACCCTGCAGCCATGGATCAACAGACACACTACAACAACCAGAGCTCAAAACAACTTGCACAAGAATATAAATGTAAATAAAAGACATGATTTTATCCCATTTGGTCTTTCATATTTTGTCACTTTCTTTCCTTCTATTTCTCACTTCATAGTTTTTATACCCATTCGAACTCCTCAGTTCACTGCAACATCTAAAAGGATCCTCCATAGAGTAATGGTTAAAAAGCTCAAAAGAGTAATGTAATGAACTTCGATTTCTAATTTTGTAGCTTTTATCATCTGGGCTATGTGTCCTTCAAGATATCAGTAAGTGAAAGTTTGGGACTTCTAAAACTAATGTCTCTGGTTTATATGCTCCCAAAGTTTACCGGTGGATAAAAGTGTTGGTCGAGTGATTCAAAAAGTGACTTGACCCAAAGAGTTGTGAGTTCAAAATCTCGCTACAGCAGAGGGAAGAAAATCTTTGAGAGTTGAGTTACTAAAGGCAATTAACTGAAACTGAGATATCCCCCCCCCAAAAAAAAGATATGGCACGGCACGTGGAATTACAAAAATCTACTTCCATTGACTGAAAGGGTTCTGTTACACTTGTGATTCCTGTGAAATTGAAATTCAGTTTAGTTTCGGCATACGCACGGTTTTCGTCTGCTTATCGCCTACTCCCCGATTCCCATTCCTTTGTGACTTTATATTTTGCCCCAATGGCTTCTCAGAAAATTCCTAGTGCAAGTGCTAAGTGCCATGCTATAACACTGGACGATAAACGTACTATGATAAAACGCCTTGAAAAAGGTGAAAAGGTTATATCGATTCCTCGATCTTTTTGGAATGATTTTGGCACATATCAAATCTTATTCCCCAGTGAGGAAGAATACTGTTATCAATAAGAAAAGAGGAGAAATCTTTGGATTGATAGGTTGAATAATCATCGTGCTGCTATTAGTCGAGAAATCATTCTAGCGAAAGCGTTGTCTTTGAGAACCTGAACAAAAATACCCAGATGAGAAAGACAGAGTTTAAAGCGAGCCAAGGCTGGTTTATGAGATTTAAAGAACGAAGTTATAACTATTAAGAAGCAAGGTGAAAGAGCATCAGCTGATGAACAAGCAGCAGTCGATTTTCCTAAGATCATCGAAGAAAACGGGTTTCTTCCTGAACAGATTTTTAACGTTGACGAAACTGGATTATATTAGAAAAAATTGCCAGGCCGTTCTTTCATTTCCAAAGAAAAATCAATTCTAGGCTTCAAGGTCTCAAAAGAACTTGTGACTTATGTTAGGAAGTAATTGTGCTGGAGATTTTAAATTAAAACTATTGCTGGTGTATCATGCATACAACCCCCGTGTCCTGTAGGACAATCAAGGCATCTCTTCCTGTTATATGGATGGCTAATCCAAAAGCATGAGTGACTTGTTATTTTTGAAGATCGATTCTTTAATCATTTTATCACAGCAACAGAAACATTTTGCAAGAAGAAGGGGATTCCTTTTAAGATATTATTAATAATAGATAATGCTCCTCCCCACCCGCAAAACATTGTAGATTTTCACCCCAACGTTACCGTCGTGTACCTCCCTCCGAACATTATGTATCTTATATAACTAATGGATCAGGAAGTCATTACAATCTTTAAGCGTTAATATATGAAGTGTGCGTTGCGGCTAACAATAGCTGCAACTGATCTTGTTGAGTCATCCACACATCTTGACTTTTGGAAGAAGTATGACATATATAAAGCTGTACAGAAACATAGCAGCGGCATAGAATGATGTTCAGAACATGGCTGTAAATGGTGAGTGGAAAAAAACTATGCCCGAAATTTGTGAATAATTTTAAGGGGTTTGATAATGTTGAAATCAATAAAATGTTGGTGATCGTGAGCAAAGAGCTGAAAATGGATTCGGCGGAGGATTTCATAGATTTATTTTTAAAAAAACGAGCAGCCACTAACGAATAGTATTTTATAAAGCTGAACGAGTAGAAAAAAAAGACGCCAAACGTGAGCCACATCATGTTTCCCGAAAGAAAATGCAGAAAGTATTTGCTTTTATTGAAAAAGGACTTCAAATCTTCGAGGATATGGTCCCAAATGGTCAAAAGTTATGCACGTATAGTGGGTTATCAGTTATAGTCAAGTGTATGAGTGTTGAAACATATTAGTTTGATAGCCCACCATAAGAGGGGTATAAAACAAGAAAATCAAATTGTAAAGTGAAACAGCAAATTTATATACATATAAATCAATTATGGTCTTTACAAATAAAATTAATGTATCTTGGTTGATACAAGGTCGTCAAAATGTTCGTAGTAGTCCTTGCAAGAATGAGTTTATGTGTATGTAGGCAGGAACGTATGTTTGGATGTATGTATCTATGAGCGTTATCGAAGGGTAGGAATGTCTTTGAAGTAATCGCTCAGTCTTAAAATGTTCCGTTCATTTCTCAAGTATAAAAGCGGTGAGAGAGAAAGTTATCGATAATAACGATCGCTTGACGTTTTTCAAGAGACGTGTTAATACGATCGTCTCCTCTCTGGTGACAGGCAAACTTGCCCGTCTTTTATTTTACCTAAACCTTATGAGTGAAATTGGATAGACGGAGTTGTTGGGGACCGTCGATGGCTGTGCTAGCACAAAGTCACAAGTCATCGTGACCGAGGGTTTGAGTGGGCTGGCCTTGTTCAGATTGTTGATCACGCTAGATAACGTGCTTCTCCGCCTCAGTAACTGTAAAGTCTGCTGAGCATAATTGCGGTATAAACCACAGGTGGGCTCTGTGGGTGTTGAACAAAATGTGCCTGAGCGAGCGTCTGCAATAGATGTTAGCTAGCCGCCCTAGTAAACAGATATCCTTTAATAGACAGCCATTAATATATATATATATTCTTGCCAATTTCATTTAAATTATATTTGTTTCCATCACTTTCGTTATTTGATATCCAACACAACACAATATCCTAAAGGATGAATCACGTCATACAAAACCTTTCCCCCCACTATGATCTAGTATTTGCCCCACACCCCCGTGTTTGTGTGTGTGTGTTAAAATCCCCAGAATAATTCTGAAGACAAGACAATTTGAATAAAAAAAAGACCATTGGAAAATATATTTCTTAGTCATTACCGACGCGTTTCGTCAATCCGACTTTATCAAGGCAAGTTCCCTTTTTAATATTTTGAATGTAATGTAACTAAAAAACATTTCGTTTTTAAACTTGCCTTGATAAATTCGGATTGACGAAACGCGTCGGCAACGACTAAGAAATATATTTTCCAATTGTCTTCTTTTTATCTATATATATGGAATATTAGTGTTTAAGCCTTTTTATTATATCCTTACTCTGTCCCGGACATTGAGTTCTACCTGGATTCTATCCTCTTGGATGTATTTTTTATACAAATATATATGTACAGTGTAACCCGGATATAAGAGAGTTGTCGGAACCGGAGAAGAAGTCTCTTATATCCGGGTTTGGTCTATTTTATATATATTAACACAGGCTCTAATTTGGGACCAGAGAAAATCTCTCTTATATCCGGGTCACACTGTATATATATTTTTATATATTTTAAATATATGATTGCATATGTATGTGTATATTTACCCCTAATATTATCTATATATATATATATATATATATATATATATATATATATATATATGTCTATAACCATGGAGCCAAATCAGTGATAATTAAATTCTAAATAGACTGACAGTAGAAGAAATCAGGCGGTAAAGACTTGTCTACAGCTGGTTGTCTGCTTCAAGGTTTAATTAAAGAAACACCGTTTTTATCAAGAAAATCGAAGTTAGCATTTTCAGAAGACGATTATTTTTAGTAGACCAGTCCCAATGACTTTCTTGGTCAAAATTTTGATTCTTGGATAATTGCAATAAAACTACATACCCTACGTCACATATTGAACAGGTGTTTTCTTTTCCGCTAAAAAAAAGGCCCCTCTGCTTCGAAGGCAAAGATCGTTAAACTAAGAATGTAAGCCACCTGGAGACAACCGAAACTATTTTCTTTGACAGTGGACCTAAATGTTTATCCAGCACTATTACACTTTCAGACTCCCCCCCACACACACACACCCACGTTGCTTCCTGTCATTCAGCAGTGGACTGTCGAGGTACGACAGTCTGGAAACAGTTCTGTTTGTTAAGTATAATATTTAAATTTGAATTAAAATGTAAATCTCAAAAAAAAAAAAAAAAAAAAAAATCAATGTAAAACCCTAAGCAAAAGGGGATGCAAAAGTGTAATAACACCGTTTAAACTATTAAAAAATGTCTTCCAAAAGCTAAGCAAATTATTAAGAAACAGGAAAATCGCGTTAGAAACAAGAAAAAAAAAAGAAAAGTACTGAAATGTCATGTAATACTCGATACTCGTATATGGCAGTGAATGTTGGATCCTTTCCTCAGAGATGGAGAAGAGACTAGAGGCAACAGAAATATTATTCTACAGAATTATGCCA